AAATATAACACACGAACAGAAATGTGAAAGTCTTAATTGTGTGGCTTGATGAAATGTTACTGTGTAAAGGCACCCATATATAACCTCCCAGACCAATCAATAGAATATTACTGGCTGCTTTGAGTCTCGAGAGGTGACCATAAAGGTAACCACCCGAGGCACCATCTGCTTCTCTACTAAAGTAGTTTATTCTTTCTCATCACTATATTCCTTTATCTTCATATTTCACAGTATATTCTTTCTATAGTTGATGGACATTTAGATTCCTTCCATTGTAGGATTTACCTGATACATGTCATTTGATGACTACACATACCCATACAAGCAAGAATTCAATTTACAAGATCATCTAAAATGCCTAGAAATAAAGTTGACCAAGGAAATGATACCCTTGTACATTAAAAACTATAATTACTGATAGAATCAAAGGAGACTTAAATAAATAGAAGGACATTTTATGTTCATGGATTGGGAGACTTTATATCGCTAAGATATCAGTGCTGCTCAAAGTAATATGTAGATTCAATAAAAATCCCCACCAAGATTTTGACAGACTTTCTTGTAGAAATAGGAAAGCCAATCATAAAAGGTATATGAAACTACTGTGACCATAGTACTGAAGATGGAAATCCAAACTGCCCTGAAGGTTTTAACAAAAAAGAAGCCTCCAGGAATTGACAGAATAACAACTGAAATGTGTCAACAAGCTAATGAAAAACTTGGAAGACTGCTGCCTGGCCAACTGGCTAGAAGAGATCCACATTTGTACCCATTCCAAAGAAAGATGATCCAATAGAATGCACAGTATCATTGATATCACATACTAGTAAAATTTTGTTGAAGATTCGTCACCAACAGTTGCAGCTTGACATTGACAGGGAGCTGTCAGAAATTGAACCTGAATTTAGAAAAGGACCAGGAACAAGGGATATCATGGCTGATGTCAGATATATTTTATATGTGTTTTATTGACTGTATACAAAGCATTTGAATGTATGGGCCATAACAAACTATGAATAGTCATGAGAAGAATGGGAATTCCAGAACACTTAATTGTGCTCATGTGAAACCTGTACACGAACCAGGAGACAGTCACACAACCAGAGCATGGGAATACTGAGTGATTTAACATCAAGAAAGGTGTGTGTCAGGGTTGTATCCTTTGACCATACTTATTCAATCAATATGCTAAGCAGATAATGTAGAAAAGCTAGGCTATATAAAGAAGAGCATGGTATCAGGATTGGAAGAAGGATTATCAACAACCAGTGATCTGAACATAACAATCTCACTTGCTGAACATGAAGAGGACTTGACACACTTGCTGATCAAGATAAAGCTTTGCAGCCTTCAGTATGGGTTACAACTCAATGAAAAGAAAACCAAAATCTTTACAACTGGACCAAATGGTAACATCATGATAAATGGAAGGAAAAAAAACTGTTCAAAGAGGATTTCCCCTTGCTTAGATCCACAGTCATGGAAGCAGCAGTCAAGAAATCAAAGGATGTATTTGCACCAGGCAAATCTGCATACCATCTCTTCACAGTGCTGAAGAGCAAGGATGTCACTTTGAGGACTAAGGTGCGGCTGACCCAATCCTTTGTATTCTCAGTTGCCTCATATGCATGTGAAAGTTGGACAAAGAATAAGGAAGACAGAAGAAGAATCGATGCATTTGAATGATGGTGCTGACGAAGAATATTCAAAGTATTATGGATGGCCAAAAGAAGAAACAAATCTGTCTGTGAAGAAGTACAACCAGAATGTTCCATGGACAACCAGTGACAAGATTTTGGATTTACTTTGGACATAGTGTCCAAAGACCGGTGCCTAGAAAACAACTTCCCGCTTGATAAAGAGTAGGGGCAGTGAGAAAGAGGAAGCCCCTGGACAAGATGGATTGACACAGTGGCTGCAACAATGGGCTCAAATACAACAATTGTGAGGATGGCACAGGACTGGGCAGTGTTTTTATTCATTGTTTATGGGGACACTAAGAGTTGGAATGGAATCGAGGGCACCTAACAACAACATGAATGTTAGGGATTCAGAGCTAAGCCTCTGTTCCAATGAAGCAGAACAGAGGATTTTTCCAGAAATCGTTTGAAGTCCCATCCATGTATGTATAAAGATTCCTGGTGATGCTACTGGGTAAGCATTCTATTGCTAACTGCAAGTCTGATGTTCTCCAAGGGAAAAAGATGAGGTTGTCTGCTCCCTTAAAGATTTATGGCCCCAGAAACCTCAATCTAGGGTCACTATGAGTCGGAATAGATTGCTCGGCAGTGGGTGGGTATATATATACATCTATACTACCCACAAGTTTAAAAAAGAACAGATCCATTTGCATGACGTAAAACCATTGCCATTGAGTGAATTCTGCCTCATATCAACCCTGTGGGAGAGAGTAAAATCACCCCAAAGGATTTCCAAGGTTGTTAAATCTTGATGGTAGCAAAGTGACACATCTTTCCCCCATAGATAGCTTCAAATCTCAACTCTTTTGTTTAGTCACTGAGTGCTTTAACCACTTCACCAATAGGACTCCTTCCACATGAATTAATGGCAGTAAAAATTAATAGAAAGTAAAAATGTATTCTGTAATTATACATTTCTAGCACTCTACTCTGTGTGCTGTTGTTGTCTGTAATTGGTGAATTATTTACATGCTTTATCTTAATATAAATATATTCATCTTAGTAGACGTTTTATGACTATCATTACCCCTCATTTAGGGACCAAATGAAACATTTTCTACATTTCCAATCCACTGAATAGGTTATATCATAAAATATGATTAAATCATTGAGTGAAACAATTTCAATTAATAGCACATGGTGGCTCTCTCTATCATGAAGTTTGGTTCAGAAGTTTATATTTTTTTCCATTTAAGGAGCTGAGTTATTATGCTGCAACTAATGGGAAATTAATAGATTTTTAAAGTTCTGCAAGCACTGAAGATCCTACACTCTGCATTATTCTTAATTATAAAATGCTATGGTTGATTTCCTTCAATGTTGATGAATACAACAAGAGTAAAGTTTTAAATGGATGTAAACCTTTCATTAAACAACAAATAAATTTAGTTTGTTCCTAAAATTGCACAGAAATTAAATTAAGTCTGAAAATTAAGACTCATAGATTTTCTGCTAAAGAAATAGCTGATACAAAAATTAAAATGTCATTAAAATTCACTACCATGAGACCTCTTGGAGACAAAGGAGTTAGACATTAATTAGCATTGTCTAGGTATGAGTCTGAATTGATCCCATGGCAGTGAATTTTAAGTAATTTATTAGTCTAGTACAGAACCTCACAAACAATATCAAAAACATTGGGCTAACTGCTTCTTGAATTAATTTGATTCCTGATTATAACAAAATCTGTTAATAAAATGGGAAAACATGTGCAGCTCTTAAGGTCAGGATCTTGAAACGAGGAAGTGGAGCCACGGGTTAAAACCTAACGACAATCATTCATTCCTAGAACAAAGGGAAGAAACCATCAGCACTCTTTCCAAGACGACAATCTTATTGCCAGCATTGCGATATTTTGTCTGCTTGTCAACATGAGATAAACGTACAGAGGCTAAAAACAAGACTCCAGGATCTGGGAGAATACCACTTGAGTTGTTTCAACAAACAGATGCAATGCTTGAAGTGCTCACATGTCTATGGCAAGATATTTGGAAGACAGCTATCTGGCCAACTGATCGGAAAATATGCATATTTGTGCCCATTAAGAGGAGAGGTGATCCAACACAATGCTGAAAGTATCAAGCAATGTCATTCATGACACACAAGTAGGGAGATGTCAGAAAG